AGTAAATATTTCTCTTATGTAAAATTACAGTCGGAACTTCCCTTCAGTTTCCTTTCCTTTCTTTTCCTTTCCTTTCCTTGCTTTTCCTTTCCTTTCCTTTCCTTCCCTTTCTCTTATTCTTATTCCTTAGATGAAACTAGAGAATTCAATAAAAGGATCTGTCGTGTAGCGCTGTATTCAAGCACTGTGATTGGCTGATGGAAATATGCTTTGTCTTGGTTTCGATTGGTTGAGACGGAAGATATTTTAGATTCATCCCCATTAGAAAGACATTCAAATTTTATCAGTACACCCTGAAACAGCCTCAGGGCTGATCAACATCAGGGAACGAATAATTCACAGATCGAATTAGAATTTATATTGTTAGGTTTTGCGGAAGGAGAATACCGGAGAACCTGGAGAAAAACCCTCAAATCAAGAGAGAGACCTAACAAACTCTACTCTCATGTGACGCAAAGTCCAGGAATTGAACTAAGGCCACTGAGGTAAGGGGCGAGAGCACTACCGCCATTCCACCCCAGTGATCTCATTCTCTCAAGGTCTCTGCTCTTTGTTTGTTTTAGAGTTTGCAGCTCAGTAAAAAGGGGTAATAAGAAATTGTAAATACGTACGTTTGGTTTCAATCGATGAGACAGGAAAACAGGAAGGACATCGGGAGTCATGACGGAAAGAAGGTTGTCAGCCTGCAAAAATAGAAATGAATGAATGAATGAATGAATGAATGAATGGATGGATGGATGGATGGGTGGGTGGATGGATGGATGGATGGATGGATGGATGGATGGATGGATGGATGAATGAATGATAAATGAATAAATGAATAAAAGAACGAACAAACTAAAACGAATAAATGAATGGAATAAAGGAAGGAAGAGAAGAAGGTAACAGGATGGCCGTGATTTTATTTGTTTACCGTGATACCGACCAGAGGTTGTCAATTTGATTTACCCCCAGTCCTTTGCGTATATGCAAAGACGATAGAAACGTAGTTCCTGGGAACGAAAATGAGGATAAAAACAAGTGCGCATGTGTCAAGATCACCTGAACAAAGGATGTAACCTCGCTGATCACCAGCCTCCACTCTTCATCGTCCTCTGCATCGTAGACATCAACGTACTCTTCCACGTAATGATTGAGTTCCTTTGGACATCAAAAAAGTGAAATGTTTCAGTATTCATTGTTGAAAGGAAGGAGGAAAGGGAGGAAGGAAGAGTATAAGGAAGAAGGATGAGATAAAAAGGGGGAAGACAGAAGGAAGGAAGGAAGAAGGCAAGACGTTAGGAAGGAAGGAAGGAATGAAGGAAGGAAAGAAGGAAAGAAGGAAAAAATGAAAGAAAGAAAGAAAGAT